ATGTGGCAAAGCATATTTCCAAGAAGAAGATTAAGAAACGAAAGTTGGTTATTCAAGAGTAATCATCCGAAGGTGAGAAAGTTACTGAAACACCTGAAGCTACTATCTCCAAACAAATATCGACTCCTGAGCAGACTAAGGTCATACCACCTGAAGTTTCGTTAACCAAGTCAGTTCCTGAGGAGGTTCGAACTTCAGACATCACTACACACGTATCTGATACGAATGTAAATGTCAACATGGGTGAAGGACATTCATCTAAAGAGATTTCAATATCAGTCCAAGGTATTCCTGTATTATCTTCCATGGATACTTCTGTTTCATTACCACCTTATATCATCCCTGTTTCAAACACAACCAACTCACCTACTTTTGAGCATGTTATCCAAAATCCATTTACCACACTTTTCTCTTCTCAATCCACTGATCCACCCAAATCTATCGATGAACCTGAAACTGATACTGACGAAGGAGGTTTTGGAGGTACGTTTGATGATTTGGAATTTGATGATGAGGAAGAAAATATTCCAGATCATATGTTAATGTATATGAAGCAGTTCAAGATTCTTAACAAGAAGTTGAATTTGATTATTCAATCTCAAGCTGATATGGGGGAAGTAATTCGGTGTCAAGTATGGAGATTGATGGTCTGCTCAAAGCTGTCGAAGCCAAAATCATTACCAAATGTTCTGGATTGATTAAAGAATCTGAATCACACCTTATGGAGAAGTTGGACCTGAATGATAAGAATAATGAGTTACATGTGAAGTCTCAATCTTCAAATTTTCTGGGAGAAGTTAAAGATTTTAGACGGTTGGTTAAGGAACGACATGTATTGTTTGTTCAAGATGTGAAGAAGGTAAGGGAGGATGTTAATTCGAAAATTCGCGAACTTCGTGAAGACATGGCGAAAGAGATTGCTAGTGTTCAGAAAGACTATGCGTCTCTCAATCAGAAGGTGGATATTATTTGTGATGCAATCACAAAGTTTGTTAAAGTGTACGAAATTTTGAGTCCTCAAATTACTCAACTTTCTACGAATGATAGTCAAAGCTTTGTGGAAGTTATTAGTTTGTTAAAGGAGTTGAAAGCACTTGTTGTCAAGCCTGCTACATCTTCGCTCATTACTCCTGAGTTCTTGTCTCAGAAGTTTATTCAGTTTGAAGCTGTTCTGCATAAACAATTAGCTCCGTTATCCAGGATTTCGAATTTATTACCAACAGATGCCCCGCCTATTGTCACAGGGGTGCAAGGGGGAGAAGGAAAGGTTGGTGATGGAGTTTTGCAAGAAAAAGTCAAGGTTGTTAGAAAAGTTTTCCCAACAAAATTTCAACAACAAAGCCAATTCTTTCAACAACTGGGCCGGTGAGTTCGACAGTAATAACTACAAAGCCAATTGCCAAAGGCATTGTGATTGGTTCTTCAGCTGAAGGTAGTAGTAGTTCAAAGCCAAAGAAAGTTGTTGATGATTCTTCAAAACAAGACAAAGGGAAAACGATTGTTGTGGAGAAATCAAAAGATGAGAAAAAAGCTGAAGCTGAAGCTGAAATGGAGAAACAAAGGGTGATTCAAAGTATTTTGAGACTTCGTGCAAATGATCCACCTGGAATGAATAAGGGAGATCCAAGCAAGCATTACAATTACGAAACTATTGAAGCAAAAGTTGTTTATAATCATATGTATGCTTTCGAGAAAAAGCCCAAGATAAGTTATGTTGTCACTAATACGGATATGAGCCAGTTAGATTTTTCAGTGAACGAAATGATGTTCATGATGGCTCAGTACAGGATTGCTGAAAAGTTTGATAATGATGATGACTACACTTATATGAAACTTAGGTTTCATGTTGTTCTTGGGAAAGTTACAGAGGAGATATGGTCTTTAGTGAAGATAAAGAAGGTGATCAGTATTACAAAGGATGTTCTGTTCGAAAACATGATGCAGAATTTTCGTTTTCATGTTGCAAGGGTAAATGGTCAAATCTGTGATTTCTCTGTTACTGATTTTCCTTTAATGAACTTGTATGATCTTATACAAGTTGCAATGCTTTTGAAAGACAATAATGTTTCACATATTCAAGAAACAGATCCAGAAGTGTTTAGACTTGGTCTTGCTCACATCAAAATATTCATAGATAATTACTATGAGTGTTTGCCCCTTACTGAAGTGGAGTTGGCTACAACATTGGGGAATGAAGTGAAAGTCCCTATGGAAGTTTCGAAGACCCAACCTGAGTTGAATAAATTTGTTGATGGGGAAATTTGCTTGAAACCGTTGGATTGGTCTTCGCAGGAAAGGATAAGAATGGAAAGGCTAAAAGATTTTTGTTCCAGGCAAGCGAAGTTGAAAGATATACCACATCCCAGTATACGAACTTTGTTGTTCGTATGAATAACTGTTCGAAAAACAACCAAGGGGATAAGAAGGAGTTAAAGAAGATTATTTCATGGTATACGGAGATACGAAGAGTGATGTAGTTTGCTGCACATATTCTCTCACCTTGAGAAGTTCAACTTGATTACAAAGGGGGAGATTGTAGGGTCGAAATTTGTTGTAATCAGTCGAAGTCTGTTTAATTGTTCTCTTCGTATGTTTTGTTATGTGTTTGCTAAGGTGTCTCATGTTCGAAGCTTAACGTTTAAGCCTTAGTATTTTTTGTATGCTTTCACGTCTCCTATAAATAGGGACATTACTTAGAGTTATATAAGGGTTTGAGTACAACTTGTCTACTTTCTCTCTGTAAGAATTGGAAGCATAATATGAGCTGAAAACCATATTATATTTACTCTTTGTGTTCATTTGATCATTACTCTGATATATTCTCGATTCATCACTTCTTCACCGCGTCGGCTCAAAGGATCGATTTTCCGGCGATATCGTCTTCAACCTCGTAAGTTTCCGTCGACAACGAGTTTGACCACATCATTTTCCGGCAACACCGACTTCAACCACGAATTTTCGGCGCCGATGGAGCAGAATTTCCCCAACATTTTCGCTGATGGATACGGCTCCCGGGTAATTTTCACGTTTCCATCTTTAGATTAATGTCGTATTGTTTATATTTAAGATTAAAATGTTACGAAAATGCAATTGATAACCTGCAATATATGTTCAAATTTAGATTTAGGATTCAAACGCGAAGATCCATTCCGCGCAGGGATAGGTCACTCCGCAGAGGGACCTTCGCGAATTGACGTATTCTCTCCGCGGAATGAATTAAAATGGGTAAAATGTGTTTCCGCGGAAGGATAGGTCACTCCGCAGAAGGGTCTCCGCGGAATGACTTATAACCTCCGCGGAATGACCTAAAATACCATTTTCCCCCTTTTTTCTACCCTTTTATATCAATTATTAATTAAATAAAAAGTACGTTGCTATTTATTTCCTAAACCGAATTAACTATGTAATTTTAAAACCTTGTTTTTTATTTTCAATTACTAACGTTTTATATTAAATATATGTTTTGTAGCATGATGATCTCGATCAAAATGCAGATTTAACTTTAAAAGGCGTGGTCGGAACGATAATTAAAGACCATTTTCCGCGCCTAACACAATCGCAACGAGCATTATTTGAAGCTTCACCGTTTGGAAGAGTCTTAGGAATGCATGTCCCCAATGGTGATCCCATACTTGTGCATTTGATGATGTTGCATGAAGTAAGATCTCAACAAGTGTTTGAAATAGGGAGGTTTTTTTTAAGATACAGGGGATGCAATTGAATTTTGGTGAAACTGAATATATTTTGATTAGTGGGTTAAGAGTTGGTCCTTATGTGGAAATACTCCATGACGAAAGAGGCCGGTCAAATTCAAATCTTCGTGTTCGGTTGTTCCCAAACATTACAGATGCACGTTTGCGGCTCAAAGATTTAGAAGACTACATTATATCTCTGAATTATTTGGCACTTCGGGATAAAGATGTTGTAATGCTTATCCAACTTGTTTTTATGTTGAAAGGTCTTCACGGACGGGACGTTAAAACGGGCATTCCCGCGGCAGTATACAAGCTTGCTGACAATATAGATGATTGGAACAGGTATTACATTTAAAAATTATGTATAAATACAATAATAATTATAATAAATATTGCAGGTTTGCATGGGGTACATATTTTTGGACCTATAATTCGGGGTTGATGCGTGGAATGTTTGAGAAAATAGAAAATTTTAGAATATTCAAGCAGGCCAATCCCGAATCGAAGAAAATACACAAGTATACCGTTTCCGGTTTTATGCTTCCGTTTAAGGTTAGTTTCTAATGTATTTAAATAGTTATCATACTTTCGTTTTTATTACCATAATAGCATTGTACTTCTGTTTGTACTATATAATATCGTTGTAGTTTCATTTTTATACTATAATAGCATCATACTTACCTTTTTTTCCATAGATATGGATTTTGGAGACGTTCCCAAAGGCAACACAATATTATATACGCATGCCGACATAATTGTCACGAATGAGGTCGTGGAGAAGAAAAACATCGTTATATTGGGTTCAATGTCGTCAAATAATCAACGTGTCTGTGGTATGCTTTTTATATTATAATTATATATAATTACAAATTCCATTTTTTTTCATGTTAAACTAACAATCTGATTTCTGTAGCCTAACAACCATCCTATTGTTGTCGTGGCAAACGAGACGGAGCTCATGTTGCCGTTTTATATTCGCTATGTGAATTGGACTCTTAACCATGAAGAATCTCCCCCACGACAACATAGTCCACCTATTGTTGCCTCGCCTCATCGAAGAAAGAAGTACAAGTCGGAAACATCTTCGACTGAAACAGCCACAAATGCTTCTACCTCGAAACAGCCTGAAGTAGAAAGAACTTTTATGTCAAGTGACACATCAACAAGGTCGGTAAAGAAGAAGAAGACGAACACAAAGGCATTGGTGAAGTGTTTGATACACATTGTGGCTGACTTAACTTCTAAAGTAGATCGTGTATTACAGAAAAAGATGAACCAAATACAGGGTTTGGAGAGGAGGAGGACATGGTAAATGAAGAGGATGAAGAAACATATTACCATGGTACACAGTTGCATTATGATGATACATTTACATATGGTATGGAGGGGGAAGTTGGGCGTACACCTACGGGGAAAAATGTTGAGCCGTCACCGGACGTGGGTCAACATGACAAAAAACAGTGTCTCTTATTGTTAGGTCGCAACGAACGAGGGGTGCTTCATGGTATCGGCGGACGCCGTTCACAGTGGTACAAAACTAATATTTTAAATTTGGTGTATTGATAAAATATTACGTTATTGATAATTATTTAACATTTAAATTTTTTAGATCCAATCCACACCAAAATTGAAGAAAATCACCAAACCAAGGAAAAAAAAGCAGTGGAGTGTCTCGAAAAAGCAAATGAAGACATTGTGAATGAAGAGAGTAATGATGTTTCAAATCATCTACTGTTAGACAATCTTTATGCTGCTAGTACGTTGGGTTTTTGGAAAGAATGAAATATGATCTCTTCCAACGTCGACACTACACACAGACTGTATATACTTCCACTGGATGTGGAGTTTTGGTTAAGGTTACTTGCAGTTAGTGACTCTGGGTGATTAATTTCTTTGGTAACATTCATTAAACTTTACTACTTTTTTAGACGATAATTTATATATATAATTGTAACATTTGTATCTTAAAATGTACAACATATTGCAATGTGGAGTGACGTGCTCATGGAAAGACGGCCGGCGGACGCAAGGTGGACGATATACCCTCAAGAACTCAATTTGCAACCCGAAAAATCATTTTTTTAAGAATGTAGCAAATGGTGTTGGAGGCTATCCTAAATGGAAGGATGTGGATATGGTTAGTTTAGTTTAATAATTATTTATTTATATGTATATAATATTACCAAATTTACTACTATTTTTTTGTTTGCAAGTTCTATTCCCCATAAACGTTGTTGGTGGCCATTGGTTTTTGACAGTGCTACATTTAAATACCTGGAAAGTACAAATTTATGATTCAACACGATTTATGAGTTTCTTATCAAAATACAAGATTGGTGGAGAATTCCAAAGTTTTGGGGATAGTATTATCTCAGAGCTAGATGTGATTGAGTACTGGAACGATTTCCCCGATGGACACAGAGAGAATGCAACTATGGAGTTTGTTGAAACTATAGATGCGCCGCAGAAGGAATACATCGAATATAGAGGGGATTGTGGAGTATTCGTATGCATGTTTATGGAAATGATTATTTCGGGGGTACCGGTGAAGATTGATAAGCCACGTAGAGATGCAGGGTTTCTCTATAGAAATAGGATGAAAAATATTATTTGGGACACTATATAACTTGATTTTAGGAACTTTGTATATATTAATATGAAATACATGTTTTTAGTTATTATGTTTAATATAAATATGTGTTTTATTTTTGTTATTATATTTGTTTCGTGGACTGCCAAGTCACTTCCGCGGAGTGCCATTTCATTATAAAATGACTCAAAAATATGTATCATTTCATCTAATCTATATCACTGCATCTACTTTGTATCTTTTACAATGGGTTCAAAACCATGGACCGCTGAGGTGTATTTGCTTCTAACTCGTGCATATATTAATGTCTACGAGAACAACAGTTTGGATGATACAATGTTTTGGCTCCTTTTAACCAATACCTTCAACACTGACGCTGAAACCACCTTAGAAAACCATCGCAACACGCTTGATATAGCAGCAAAATGGTATGAATTGAAAACAGAAGTTGTGTTATTCAACGATCTTTATAAGAAGATTGAAGACTCACGTGTGAATGATACTAAGGAAGACATACTGGAGGCGGCTAAAGAAGAATACAAATTCATTAGCAACGGAGAGATTTTCGACTATGAAGCCCCTTGGAATCTTTTGAAAGATCTCCCGTATTTTTAACTTTTACTGCATTTGTATTGCTTTATTTATATGTACTATGGTTATTTTTTGCGTTTGTATTATGTTATTTATACTTTATTTTTTGAAACATATGCACCAAAAAATATTACGATACATTCAAATAAGATGTAGGACTGACATACATTACATAAAACATTACAAACAAAAGAGTTGTCTACATGAAAAAAATGTTTATTTTTAATGAGATTCCAAACGTCCGTATACTCAAACTTATTTTTATCAAACTCGCAAAGGTAATATCCGTTCACGTCTTCAAAAAGTTTTTCATCGTCTGCATGAGAGCGTCACATTTTCTCATAATTGTATCATCGATTGAACCATGTGACGTTTTGCTTTAAATCCATCCATTTACTAAGAATATTAGGTTTTATTCGTTCTTGTCCTTCTCCCACCTCATGGTTGAACAAATCTATTAGGCGGGACCATTCATCACCAACAAAACAATGAGGGAGAGCCATTGTGTAACGCTCGATTCCAAGTATGAAATTATTTTTAAGTTGTTCATGGATTATCTTTGAACACGGCGTGGCGTCAGGGTTTTGCTCGCGGAGTTTAATGAATCAAAACGGCGTATTGTGGTGTCTCAACACGGCGTGTTGACGGCATGGAAGGAAACCCTAATTTTTAGGGTGTTGCACCCTATTTAAAGGCCTTAAGTCCTCATGGCTATCCTCCTTACCAACCTCCATTGTCACTAAAACCCTAATTCGTCCCTTAAGCTTTCTTGGTGGTATTCTTAAGCCTTGAGTGGATTCTTGTGGTTATTTTGCTCATTTCTAATGGAAGCTTGAATATTGAAGGTGCTTAGCTTGGAAGGAAGGTCATAGATCCAAAATCTCTCCACTTGTTGCAGTCTCTTTAAGGTATCAATTTCATACCTTGACTAGTAGATGTTTAGATCTCCTCATTTGGTGATTTGTTGTGTTTTTGGCCCCTATTTGGGTTGAAGAGTGCGATAAGTCGTTGTTGGGTTTTTTCATTCGAGATCTGTGTTGCATTGGACCCCTTGAGCTTAAAAATGCAAGCTTTATTTGGTCCTATGCATGCATTAAGTTCCTTTTTAAGCTTAAGAGCTTCATTTAGGCATGCATAAACGTAAAGTTGGCAACTTTACGTGGGTTTCTAGGTCAAGGAGGCCAGATCTATGTTTTGGGGCTTTGACTCATGAGTTGAGTGCTTATTGGTTAAGCCTTGTGTTATTAAGTGTAACATTTCAAACCTATGTAATAGTATAGGTCAATGTGTATTTCTTTTATAATAATAAAGAGAAATTTTAGCATAATGTGCATATTTACATAATTGACCATCAAAAATAAATTATTTAACAATCTCGATTGGAATGAACCAAGTGATAGAGATTGTAACAAGGTTTCCAAAAGCATAAAGAACACTAAAATCCGAGTTATAACGAAGAAGTTATGACCAATCGAAAATCCGCGACAAAACCGCCAAAACACTATTTAGTGTAAAAACTGAATTTTCAATAAAAGGCTTTTTAGCCTTAACAATCTAAATGAAAGTTGTAGTTTATGTTAAACCGAGAACATTCATAAAAAGAACGGAAAAATCTGACTTCGTATGAGGAAGTTATGATTTTTCTAAGTTTCAGTATAGCAGTGTACAACTAAAAACTCGAAATAAAGATCGAGCGATTTTTAGCCGACACAACCTAAACGAGAATTGAAGGTCTCGTCGGTAGTGGTACAACAGTAAAAAGACAGACAAAAACGGACGTCGGATGAAGAGGTTATGAATTTTTAACGGATTCCCGTCCGGGTCTGTTTAAAATAATAATATTAAAAATCAAGTCAAAATTAGCCAACGAAGTCTAAACGAAAGTCGTAGAGTATGATTTTACCTACGCGTGCATATAAAGAACGCAAAAAACGGAGCTCGTATGCGAAAGTTATGATTTTCGCAAGTTTTGGCACAAAAATAAAGAAAAATAGGAAAAACCGGGCAATTTCGCATGACACGTCACCCTCGCACGTGGCGGCTGCTGATTGGACCGAAGCCTTGCGTGGCACCTTCTGATTCGACCAGCCCCGCGGTCCAGTCATGCTCGGACAGCCTCGCACGAGACACCCCGGAGATGCCCCTCGGATGCCCCCTTCGCACGTGTCTTCTTCCCATTGGACCGAGGTCTGGTCTAATCCGAGCCTCCCACCTTGCGAGCCTGCGGTCCGAAGTAAGCCACTCCTTCGCCACCTGTCCGACACGTGTCAGCCTCGCATAGCCTCGGATCCGAGGCTTCGGCCTATATAAGGCATGCGAGGGCTTCCGATTATTTTACACTTTTCACCCCAAATTTCATTCTCTTTCATATTTTCCACTTCCACAAACTCATATACAACCCCTAAAGCCCCGGTATCAAGTCTCGAACCCTAAGCAAGCCTCGAAGCCCCGAGATTCCCGAGAAGTAACCTCTCTCTTGTCGAAACTCTGCCCGATTTGAGCCGGTTTCTCGACAAATAAACTCCTTTTCGTGAAACGAAACTCTGTCCGATTCACCATCTATCAAGTGAGTTCATACCCCCGTATTTTCATAATTTCTATTGTTTTAAGGGGGGGAATACAAGCATAACACAAGAACTTTGTGTTATAAAATCATGATTCAAATCATGATAAAACAACATTAAATCATCAAAAATACTCAAAACATTAAACTCTTTTATAATCTTATATTTTTCCCCAAAATTCATATTTGTATATATATATGTATATAAATAAGACTTAAAAGGCTTAGGACTGATAACTCATTCTGGGTCCTTTTCCTTGTTTGGATGTGGGCTTATAGTACCGGTTATTTGTCCGAGTGTCGTTTAAATTTTACTTATATATATAAAATTGTATATGTATATAAATATAAAAGTGATTTCATCAGTTTAACTACCTTTGTAACATGTTGAGCAAGGGATTACATGCAAACATAGTTAAATGCCGATTCAGAACGTACATATAAACTATAATAGGTCTAATTTATACATAGAATAATAATTCATGATTCAAGTATACTAGAATACACTGTTTTACAAGAAACTAGGGTTTTGATTCATAACAAATCAAGGGTTTACACTTATCAAATACATGTTCGGAATACTAATTCAAGAATATACTGTCAATCATTTATTTCAGAATGATTGGGTTTTGATTCAAGAACATACATGTTCGGAATACTAAATCAAGAACATACTGTCAATCATTTATTTCAGAATGATTGGGTTTTCATAACTAATATACATGTAACGTTTATATGCTTTTTATAAGACATTCAATTCAGGTTGTTTAATTCATTTTAGACAACCAAGGTAAAGCCCTGACATTATAACCAGAATCTCCAGCCCAGGGATCGAAACAAGTGTGTGTAGATCTATATCGGGATTGACAACCCCGCACTCAGGCTGCTAGCTACAGTCAGGCATACACGCTGATGAGTGACAATTATTATCAACAGTTTAAACGCCCACAAAGCGTTTGTTTCAGGCCATCCGTCATAGTATGGTTATAATAACTCATTAAAAAGATATTAACAATACGTTAGTGTATAACAACTAAACAAAAGTACACCTTCAAAGTACCAGTTTACATAATACAAAATACAATGGTTCAATACAGTTTTCAATAACAGCTGGTGGAGCCAGGCACACTCTCAGTACAAGTTTTTCATAAAGGAATACAAATACAAAACATTGATACAAAGTGAACGGTTTTATGGGAATAAAACTACTTTTCATATACAACAGAAAATATAGGATTTTCTGGAACAATTTACATATACAAGATACAGAGACATCCTTTAAACATAAACACTTATGCACTCACTCAACTTTATGTTGATACTCTCTTTTCAAATTACTTGTATTCTAAGGGAAATAATACACAGGTACTCCCCGAGATATTGAGAAGATGGAGCTATGTTGAGTCATATCTTCTTTTGTATAACTATATTTTGGTTCAATATACAATGATTGAACACATGTAAATACATATACCTTTTAAATACAATGGTTGTTTGTACTTTGATTACTATGATGCATGTGTTGTGATGCTACAATTGAAGTCCTCCACCCCCGGACGTTTCCGCCGTCTGGTTTGGGGGTGTGACATTAAGCCTTAGGGTTTGAGTTTTAGACCCTTTTTGGTAGTCCATATGGGCAAAGTTGGAAACTTTACCCTTCTAAGTCTCAATTGGATTTAGATCTGAGCTTGGGAACTCTTGGAGTCGAAGGAAACAGCTTAATGTATTAAGTTGTTGGAACTTGAGGCAACACGGCGTGTTTTCAAGGAAACACAGCGTGTTGGGTGGGATTTTCCCGCTTGTGAGGATAAAGGGGAATGCCGACGTGGTCTAAGGGAACCACGACGTGTTTGGGTCAAAATGGGCCGTTGACCTTGACCTT